GTTATTATTATCAAATTCGCTTAAAAGTCATTGTAATTTTTAAAGTATCAGGGTACGGATTCTCAAGGCTGGAGTTCCTTGTGAAACAGCCTAGTTGTTGTTGTTGTTTTTTGTACTAACAAAAATTTTCTATACTCAAACATTTTGTTATGTGGGCTGCCTACGTATTAAAATGAATGACGATACTCAGAAACAAAGAGGGTGAACTGCATCCTCTAGTTGGGGAAACTTGCTTACTTACTTAGAGGGCAACTGCTATTATCTTGACACGTTACTAAAGTTATTATTATTATAATTTAATTGCACTACTCTCAGACGCAATATCATACCTTCCAACTGTTCCTTATTGAAGACAACTGGCTTTTCTGTATCTTCATCTTCGCAATACATTGAGAATGCTTCGTTGACCCTTTGCTAAAAGAGATCGTCGATGGATTGCCTGACTGAAAATGCAATTAACGTGGGCCACATACTGTCCGAGCGCTTTTATGATTAAAGATATTTTAGATCCTTCCTTCTTAAATCAATGTTCCTTTACGTGAAGTTAGCACTTACGACAACTGTATACATGGGCCATGCGCCTTTCTTCCTCACAGGGAGGCGAAAAGAAATACGATCATACATTTAGCCCTTCTTGACAGCTCTTAAGATCTGACATCAAAGACCTAAGTCTTTGAAAATTAAATAGCAATAATCATGAGTTGGTGTTAAATCAAGATAACGCCCTTAACATATATTGCTATCACTCCTCTATTCTCACCAAACGTCTACTGGTAGGATTTGGTTTGCTTTCTGATTTGTTTTCTTTCTTTTTTCTGATGGTTGAGGGGGAAGTTACACATCAATCAATCCTAGGTACGAATTTTTTTTAAAAACTTGCCTCCCTAAGCTGGGCTCTCTTGACTGACATTGTTAGACGGCCCTCTGCTCGCTTCATAGAATGCATCGCTTCCATTGCGTACTTTAGGGATACTTTTCCCAGGAAAACATCGTTGATCTAAATGGACAAGAAATACCCCAAATTTTTCATATTTTCTTTTTTTTTTTTGAATTTCATTCACCGCTGGAGTGGTCAGCGGTGAGTGACCAAGATGGACGCATAGTTTGCCGCTCCACCCCAGCTTCAACTTTTTCAACGTTTTCTTCGTGCATTGTATTTACTTATTTATTACTAATACCCGCCAAGACTAGCTAATGCTATATGCGGGTTGTGTAAATTTGTTTCTAATGTTCTATGAAATAATAACAAACACTATAAACAGTATTTCTTATTTTTTCTTTCTTTCTTTATTCATTAAGCTGATTGAAAAGAGTTTTTGCACTACCGCTATTATCTTGTCTCCAGGGAAGAGTTTTCCTTCAGCTACACTGCCCAGCTTAACATTCTCTACAAATATCCCTGGTTCGCCATTCCTGGTAACGTTAGGCCCACCCATTAACTGAATTCCAAGCTTCGGTGTTGTTTTGTTTGACGTACCTGCAAAATAAAGGAATGTTATTTGTCAAATGCGATAACATGCTCAACAACCAAAACTTAGTTTCAGCAACTCTTCATTTCAAAGTTTCTCAGCGGTCGCAAAAAAGATAATATCTATACAGCGATTTGATAACTTGTTTATAGTTTTAAAGAGCCTGTTAAGGCTTTGTAAAGTCCAAGGCTTCATCATAAACTACCCTATGAAATGACTGTATAATAGACAGTCTTTAATTGCAATAATGACATGCTTATAACGCAAAAAAAAAAAGTTTAGAGTCTCCAATTATTCATTACGTATTGTGATCAGCATGGAAACATAAATAACTTCGTTTAGTATAGAGAAGTGTGTTGTTTAGGTGAAGAACCAGCTTAAATCACCGAAGTCGTAGTTGAGTTAGAAGTACACTAAAAGTGAAATCAAATATTTTTAAGGAGCTAGTTTGTTACCGTAAGACAAGAGACCCCCTCTTGTATTACATTTTGTTAAAAAAAAATAATGATAAAAAAGGGAAAAAATATGGGCCGTTAAATATAATCAAGCACATAACCAAGAAGTATGATCATCTCGTGGTGTTTCAAAACATAAAAAAAACATTTGTATCCATAATATTGTCGCTACTTGCTTACGTCAAAAGATTGAAGAATAAAGATTACATTCTTTACATTGTCTTCTTGGAGCTTTTGAACCATTAAGGGAAGAAATTTTGTTGTAAAGGGCAAGGGTAAGTACATGGGCAAAAATTATCCGTTTAAAAGTAAAAAAGAGTTTGATCTTCTAATAAAAAACTTCAATCAATCAATCAATCAATCAATCAATAAACTTTATTTAGCCCACGGGTGCTAATAAACCTGGTTTTGATGTCTCATAGATAAAAACATTTCTTTCACTGACCTCCCTCTGGTGTAGAGAATAATTCCACGCTCTCAATCCCTGCTAGTTGGTAGCTATGACTGCCTCTTATGCCTCCGACATCTTTTTTCACGACTTGAAGGTCTATTGTTGTCTGTTTAAAGACATGCATGGATCATAAGTGAACAAACGTGAATCAAATTCACGCGTTGTGTTATCATATGTTATCTTATTTTATCTTTCCTAATCCTATTCTATTTTTTTGTTTGTATATTTACTTATTTATTCATTTATTTATTTATCTATTGGGGGGGGGAGGTTGTATTTGAAGTTATTATTTTTGTTCTTTGTTTTTTGTTTGTTTGTATGGTTTCCTCTTTTTTTT